CGCTTGGCATTCAGGCCAAAGAGATCAATCTTGTTTTCATCAGACCAGAGAATCTTGTCTCTCATGGTCTGAGAGTCCTTTTGGCAAACTCCAAGTGGGCTGTCATGTGCCTTTTTTTACTGAGTAGTGGCTTTCCGTCTGGGCACACCCTTTGCCTTGATGACAGCTTTGCACACGCTTGGCATTCTCTCAACCAACTTCATGAGGTAGTCACCTGGAATGCATTTCAATTAACAGGTGTGCATTGTTAAAAGTTAATTTGTGAAATATCTTTCCTTCTTAATGCATTTGAGCCAATCAGTTGTGTTGTGACAAGGTAGAGGTGGTATACAGAAGATAGCCCTATTTGGTAAAAGACCAAGTCCATATTATGGCAAGAACAGCTCAAATAAGCAAATAAGAAATGACAGTCCATCATCACTATTAAGACATGACGGTCAGTCAATCTGGAAAATTTCAAGAACTTTGAAAGTTTCTTCAAGTGCAGTCGCAAAAACCATCAAGCGCTATGATGAAACTGGCTGTCATGAGGACCGCCACAGGAAAGGAAGCACCAAAGTTACCTCTGCTGCAGAGGATAAGTTCATTAGCGTTACCAGCCTCAGAAATCGGCAAATTAACTGCACCTCAGATTGCACCACAGAGTTCAAGTAACAAACACATCTCAACATCAAGTGTTAAGAGGAGACTGCGTGAATCAGTCCTTCATGGTCGAATTGCTGTGAAGAAACCACTACTAAAGGACACCAATAAGAAGAAGAGACTTGCTTGGGCCAAGAAACATCAGCAATGTACATTAGACCGGTGGAAATATGTCCTTTGGTCTGATGAGTCCAAATTTGACCGCCGTGTCTTTGTGAGATGCAGAGTAGGTGAACGGATGATCTCCGCATGTGTGGTTCCCACCGTGAAGCATGGAGGAGGAGGTGTGATGGTGTGGGGGTGCTTTGCTGGTGACACTGATTTATTTAGAATTCAAGGCACACTTAACCAGAATGGCTACCACAGCAATCTGCAGCGATACGCCAACCTGTCTGGTTTGCGCTTAGCGGGACTATCATTTGTTTCTCAACAGAAAAATGACCCAAAACACACCTCCAGGCTGTGTAAGGGCTATTTGACCAAGAAGGAGAGTGATGGAGTGCTGCATCAGATGACCTGGCCTCCACAATCACCCGACCTCAACCCAATTGAGATGGTTTGGGATGAGTTGGACCGCAGAGTGAAGGAAAGGCAGCCAACAAATGATCAGCATATGTGGGAACTCCTTCAAGACTGTTGGAAAAGCATTCCTCACGAAGCTGGTTGAGAGGCCAAGAGTGTGCAAAGCTGTCATCAAGGCAAAGGGTGGCTACTTTGAAGAATCTAAAATGTAAAATATGTTTAGATTTGTTTAACACTTTTTCGGTTACTACTTGATTCCATGTGTTATTTCATAGTTTTGATATCTTCACTATTATTCTACAATGTAGAAAATAGTAAAAATAAGAAAAGCCCTTCAATGAGTAGGTGTGTCCAAACTTTTGACTGGTACTGAATATAAAGTGTAATATTGGGATGCAAACTCAAAATTAAATACAGATTTGGTTAGATTGATTTTATAACTTGAGATGGAGCTCTATTTGTCTGATCTTCAAAGCGTTTGGGAGGTTTGAGATATATTGTTTAGATAAAGTAAGATGTCGTTGTCGTATAATGAGATGACGTGATCCGTAGAATTGCGAGATATTGGTGTACTTTCTTTCGATTGTCAAATTGCCTAGGCCAGGGACTCCATAGACAATAAAAAATAGAGTTGCGACGGGGTCACCTTGCCTGCTAGTTTTAGTTATTCAGAACGGAACAGAGCAGGTATAGCCTGTTATTGCTGTGGCTGAGGGATTGGTATACTGTAATTCCACTTTTAATTGTGGGTATTGTGTGTAGGCCAGTGACCAAATCTGAATTTAACCCATTTTAAATTGAGGCTGTAACACAACAAAATGTGGAAAAGGTCAAGGGGTGTGAATACTTTCTGAAGGCACTGTAGTATTTTAATCGTATGAATGAAGTTAGAGCCAAGTCCCATATGTTCCAAAACCGACCAAAGATATGACCATTCTAGTCTATCAAAAGCTTTTTCTGCGTTGACCGAGAACTGACCAAGGAGTTTTGGTTTCTGATGAAGCATGAAAGATATGTAATAGACGATGGAGGTTATCTGAGAATAATCGTTTTTTAACAAACCCGCTTTGGTCCAGATGTACCAATTTGGGTAAGTAGGTTTTGACACGAGACAAAATAATTTTAGAAAATAGTTTAAAATTTGTGTTTTTCAAAGATTGGGGTGATAGTGAGAGCAATGGGTGGCATCCTTAGCTTTTTTTTTATTAAAGTGAAATTAGTGCTATGTTTACATCCCTTACAAATGAACCTATGTGAATGGCTGTGTTCATCATTTCATGTAACAGTGGACCTAATTGGTTCCAAAATGTTAAATAGACCAGGTTGTTTTTGTTCATGTTATCCAATGCCCTTTTGAGTCCATGGAGATAATTTTGGGCTCCCAGCAAGCTGGCTTCCTCAGTTGAGAGTGGAGTTCTTATATATTTAAAAAAGGACTCAATCTGGTTTGGTGTGTTACAATCAGAGGTGTACAATTCTTTATAGAAACGGGAGGATCTTTGGTTGATTAATTTGGGTTCTGATAGTAATTCACCTCATTTAAGAATAGTTGCAATATCTGTGAAGCTTGTTAGCCAGTAGATGACAGGGTCAATAACCATGGAAGTAATGGTTGAGTCTAATTCTGCTCTCTGTCTTATCAATAGATTTAGTTCTGTCTTGACTTTGGAGAGAGTAGTCGCTATCTGGTCTGAAAACAACTTTTCCAATGTTGTTTTAAGGAAACCTTAAAGTGCCATCTTGTGGCTCTTTTTAGGAGATTCAGAAATGTATCTGGTAGTAGTAAGCATGATCACCAGATAGGCTCATGTCAAATTTCCATTTTTTAAATTAAAGAAAATAGAGGAGAAGATAATAGTACGAAATCGATTCGGGATAATGTTTTGTGCCTGTTTGAATAGAAAGTGTACTATTTTGCTTTAGGGTTATGAGCTCACCAGGCATAAATGAGGTGGTAGAGTATATCAAATATAAATGTATTTGTCACATGCGCCGAATAAAATAGGTGTAGACCTTACCGTGAAATGCTTACTTACAAGCCCTTAACCAACAATGCAGAGGTTTTTTTAAAGTAAGAAAATATTTGCAATATATTTTTGAATTAACACTAAAATAACAATAACCAGGCTATATATAGGGGGTATCTGTACCAAGTCTATGTGCGGGGTACAGGTTAGTTGAGGTAATATGTACATGTAGGTAGGGGTAATGTGACTATGCATAGATAATAAACAGAGAGTAGCAGCAGCGTAAAAAAGGGGGTTCAATGCAAATAGTCCGGGTAGCCATTTGAATAACTATTTAGCAGTATATGTTGGACAGCCTTGGTTGCCTGTGGATTGCAGTTGGTTTTATTCGATTTGTCCCGCATGTCCATCCCAACCAGTTGGAATTCAGTTAATTCTAACAATACATAGGATCATATGAATTTGGAGCAGTGGAGGCTCCTCAGAGGAGGAAAGGGAGGACCATCCTCAGTGAATTTCATAAAAATCAAAATAGTGAAACATTGAAAGTGATAATTTTTAGATTAAACTATACTAAATATATTCACGTCAACAAAAAATGGATTAAAACACACTGTTTTGCAATGAAGGTCTGCAGTAGCCTCAGCAGCACTCTCTGGGGTAGCACCATGGTGTAGCTGGAGGACAGCTAGTTTCCGTCCTTCTCTGGGTACATTGACTTCAATACAAAACCTAGGAGGCTCATGGTTTTAACCCCCTTTCATAGACTTGCACAGTAATGATGACAACTTAGGTTGGAGGACGTCCTCCAACCTATCAGAGCTCTTGCAGTATGAACTTACATGTTGTCCACCCAATCAAAGGATTAGAGAATGACTCTAGTACTGAAAGCATAAGCGATGGCTAGATAGCACTGCAGTGCATAAAATGTGGTGAGTAGTTGACTCAAAGAGGAGAGAAATTAATTTCTTCAAAAATGAAGAAGTGAGAGAGCTAGCTATATTTCGCTGTATTTTTCAACAGTCACTTAGCTAGCGAATGCAGTTAAGTGAAAGAATAAGTACAATTATATATTTTTTGATTTGACTACGTAAGAAATGTAAAGTTGTGCTTTGCCTTCAGCAAGCATACCTAATAATGTGAGTAGGTAAAAAAATCTAGTGTCTTTCCTTTAGCAAGCACACTAATAAGAAGGATGTAAGAAACCTGAAGTTATGCTTTGCCTTCAGCAAGCACACCTAATAACCTTGGCACACACACCCACTCAAACCCCCTCCTCCTAGGGAACAGAGGAGCATAAAATAAAGCCAAGTCATTCTATCTCCCACCCTTGCCTGGGACACAACAAGAGAGAGGTTAATTCATACGATTAAGTAAATATTGTGTTCAATTAACTGATTTAAGGGATGCAACTCCAGTGGAGATGGCTGCTCCCGCATGCCCTACCTCTGTCTCTACAATTCGTCTTAAAGCTGAAATCCTTAATGGTGAAACTGCCATGTCCGTTTGCGCTATTAAAGCATCAAAGAAGTTACCGCAAACAACGAACATGTTTTATTCCCTCTTATCATTGCACGTGCGATAGAACAGCTGCATATGTACTGCAATCTATTTTACCTTGATGTGCGACGCTACCCCAGCGCTTGCCACCTCTGCATCGTCAACAATAACATGGGCTGTGGTGCGGACAGTGGCGCTGTTTCTCCCTACAGAATATTCCATCTTTAATCGCTCTTTTCCAAAGCCCCAGGTCTCCGCGGTGCCCAATTGGGCTTTGGGGTGTGTGTATGTTTACATTGAAAGCGATGCTCAAGTAGGATTAGGCATTACATATGTCAGCTGTCACTGTGACCTGGTTGAGAGTGAACCATGATGGGGCCCCAGTCATGCTTCCTGGGTTTGGCTCATTTAAAGGGATAGTCCTAGTGATTTTACATAATTAGATAGATATGAAATAACTAACATATCTTTCAGGTCTCCCTTGTAAAAGAGGTCCCTTAACCTCAATGGGAAATAAAAATGTGAATATATAAAATCGCCTAACTATCCCTTTAAGGCGGTAGCGTTGCCCCTGACCTGCACAGTCCGCTTTTGTAATGGCCCTTTAAAGCAGCTGGATAAGGGTTCAGCCCTTCTTGCCCCCTCTCTCTGGTCAGGTCAGGTCTGCCCTCTCAAGATTGGCAGGCAGTGTAAGGAGGATTTCAGCCGGTCAGTCGGCTCTAATCAGTGCTTCAGATTACGATATTTATAGGCTGGTTCAGTTAGTCATCGAGCAGTTGGTGTTGTTTACTTAGTGACCAGGGCCTACACTATATATACGAAAGTATGTGGACACCCCTTCAAATTAGTGGATTTGGCTATTTCAGCCACACCCGTTGCTGACAGGTGTATAAAATCGAGCACACAGCCATGCAATCTCCATAGATGGCAGTAGATTGGCCTTACTGAAGAGCTCAGTGACTTTCAACATGGCATTGTCATAGGATGCCACCTTTCCAACAAGTCAGTTAGTCAAATTTCTGCCCTGCTAGAGCTGCCCCGGTCAACTGTAAGTGCTGTTATTGTGAAGTGGAAACGTCAAGGAGCAACAACGGCTCAGCCGCAAAGTGGTAGGTCACACAAGCTCACAGAATGTTTTCAGAGTGCTGAAGCGCATAGCGTGTAAAAATCGTCTGTCCTCTGTTGCAACACTTACTACCGAGTTCCAAACTGCCTCTGGAAGCAACGACCACACAATAACTGTTCGTTGGGAGCTTCGTGAAATGGGTTTCCATAGCCGAGCAGCCAAGCGTCGGCTGGATTGGTGTAAAGCTCGCCGCCATTGGACTCTGGAGCAATGGAAACACGTTCTCTGGAGTGATGAATTACGCTTCACCATCTGGCAGTCTGATGGACAAATCTGGGCTTGGCGGATGCCAGGCGAATGCTACCTGCCCGAATGCGTAGTGCCAACTGTAAAGTTTGGTGGAGGAGGAATAATGGTCTGGGGCTGTTTTTCATGGTTCAGGCAAGGCCCCTTAGTTCCAGTGAAGGGAAATCATAACGCTACAGCATACAATGACATTCTAGACGATTCTGTGCTTCCAACTTTATGGCAACAGTTTGTGGCAACAGGCCCATTCCGGTTTAAGCATGACAATGCCTCCGTGCACAAAGCGAGGTCCATACAGAAATGGTTTGTCGAGATCGGTGTGGAAGAACTTGACTGGCTTGCACAGAGCCCTGAGCTCAACCCCATCGAACACCTTTGGGATGAATTGGAATGACGACTGCGAGCCAGGCCTAATCGCCCAACATCAGTGCCTGACCTCACTAATGCTCTTGTGGCTGAATGGAGGCAAGTTCCCGCAGCAATGTTCCAACATCTATTGGAAAGCCTTCCCAGAAGTGTGGAGGCTGTTATAGCAGTAAAGGGGGGACCAACATGATTTTGGAATGAGATGTTCGACGAGCAGGTGTCTTCATGCTTTTGGTCATGTAGTGTATATTCTTAAAGTTTCTCAGTAGGATCTAGGATCCGTTTTGCCTTTTAAGATCATAATGAATAAGATTATATGGACAGGGGATGGACCTGATTCTAGATGGATTTACCATACCATCCGATTACCTTATAATCTGTTGATACTCTGAGAGGAAACTCTCTGAACCTCTGTTACTTTACTCCGTTTCAGTGAGCTCCCATAGTTCTTATTATCTACATGTTAGGCATCAAGGCTAAGACAATTAGCTCATGCTATTGTTAGCGAGCTGGGCGCTGCCAAGAATGCTTAAAGGGATAGGACACAGCATTTCCCTGTAGATAGCCAGGGGGAGATTACAGACAAACTCCAAACGTGTTATTTAAATAGGACCTCAATTAACCCCTACAACACTGGCAGTTCACGTGAAACCATTTCACATTTAAAATAATTTGTAACTTTAATAGGACATTGCTCTACATGGGTTAGAAATAGGCCTAATCATTTATTTGCCAAGCTCGACATGAACCCAGGACCAAATCTCTACCTCCACTTCAAGCCCCATCTTGAATCGTCAACATTGAGTGACGCGTTTGCCTTGCACTGCACCAAATCATGATTCATCAACTCACCCGAAGATTTCACATTTTGTCACAAGCGATTAGGCTCTTACAGTGACTGTGGCTAACACGATGATTTGACTTGCAACGCAATTTGAGTCAAATGTAACACTGAAAATGGCCTTGCCAGGTTGATATGGCCTTATGTAGGGTCCCGGGTGTCATCCTTGTCTTCTAGCATCACCCCCATATCCTGTCTTGATACATGTGATTGTTTGACTCTTTAAGACGTTACTGAGTCGCCATTCTCTTTTATTCCTTCCGCAGGATCACTGTCACTACCGGGGCTATGTGGAGGATGTGGAGGAATCGTCTGTGGCCATGAGTATCTGCTCTGGGCTAAGGTAACCCTTACCGAAAAAACAGGCTTCTGGCAAATCTTTGGCCAATTTGCTGTAAATTTGGGGCAAGCTCATATTTTTACATGCAAATTTGTTTTGTGGCGAACTGTTGCGGCAAATTTGTGGCGAACTTTTGGCAAACAATTCTGGGAAACTTGTGCCGAACATTCTGTTTGCTGCAAATTTGCTTCAAACTCATTATGAAAATGCCAATTAGATCAGGTTTTTTGTTTGTTATTAACAATATTGAAATGTCCTATCTACATAAACCATCACATAACTTGAAAGGAAATATCCACCCAAAACCACTAATTCCTTTAATTTAAAGTGTTAAATAACACTGTGAGAACAATGTTTCTTGGGAACAAATGTTTCATTTTGGCGTTATAATAAGGTTGGTAGCAACATGGAAAATTATTGTGGAAATCTGATGCAGCTCAAGTCGACTACAAAATCTGCAATGCAATGCTCTCTCTATGGGCTGGCTGGCTGGCTAGTTAGCTAGCTAGGTATAGGTAGCTAGCTAGCAAGCGTAGCTACACACAATAATACCAAAGACAATATAAACATATAAAGTAGGTAGTTAGCGGTAAAATCGCCTAAACAAACTGCACTATCAATTTAGGAGTCTACAATCTCACCATGTTCAACCTGCATAAAGTGTGCTCTTCACGGAAGAATCGGGATTTCAACTGTACAGGTCAGATGGCAGACAGCTTGTCTGGCGTCATGTGGGCGAGCGGTTTGCTAATGTCAATGTTGTGAACAGAGTGCCCCACGGTGGCGGTGGGGTTATGGTATAGGGCAGGCATAAGCTACGGATAACCAACACAATTGCATTTTATCGATGGCAATTTTAATGCACAGAGATACCGTGACGAGATCCTGAGGCTCATTGTCGTGCCATTCATCCGCCGCTGTCACCTCATGTTTCAGCATGATAATGCACGGCCCCATGTCACAAGAATCTGTACACAATTCCTGGAAGCTGAAAATGTCCCAGATCTTCCATGTCCTGCATACTCACCAGACATGTCACCCATTGAGCATGTTTGGAATGCTCTGGATCGACGTGTACGACAGCGTGTTCCAGTTCCCGCCAATATCCAGCAACTTTGCACAGCCATTGAAGAGGAGTGGGACAACATTCCACAGGCCATAATGAACAGCCTGATCAACTATATGCGAAGGAGATGTCGCACTGCATGAGGCAAATGGTGGTCACACCAGATACTGACTGGTTTTCTGATCCACGCCCTTACCTTTTTTTTAAGGTATCTGTGACCAACAGATGCATAATCGGTATTAACCGGTCATGTGAAATCTATAGATTAGGGCCTAATGAATTTATTTCAATTGACTGATTTCCTAATATGAGCTGAAATTGTTGCAGTGTAGTTTGCAGCAAATTTGCAAGATAATTTTTTTATTGTAAGGGTTTTGTTATAAAAAGTGACAACACTCTGGACTTGAGAGGTTGGGGGGGATTTAAGCTGTCAAGATTACCAGGAGGGTGTTCAAAGCCTGTGGTTTAGTCGCAACACCAGGTGCTCTCAAATATGCCTCCCCACCGGAGAGCGGGGTTCAAACCCCATAATGATGAAGCAAAAACAGGTTTTTATAATGTTTTGCAAATGTATTACAAATTAACTGAAATATCACATTTACATAAGTATTCAGACCCTTTACTCAGTACTTTGTTGAAGCACCTTTGGCAGCGATTACAGCATCGAGTCTTCTTGGGTATGACGCTACAAGCTTGGCACACCTGTATTTGGGGAGTTTCTCCCATTCTTCTCTGCAGATCCTCTCAAGCTCTGTCAAGTTGGATGGGGAGTGTCACTGCACTGTTTTTTTTAGGTCTCTCCAGAGATGTTCGATCGGGTTCAAGTCCGGGCTCTGGCTGGGCCACTCAAGGACATTCAGAGATTTGTCCCGAAGCCACTCCTGCGTTGTCTTGGCTGTGTGCTTAGGGTCGTTGTCCTGTTGGAAGGTGAACCTTCGCCCCAGTCTGAGGTCCTGAATGCTCTGGAGCAGGTTTTCATCAAGGATCTCACTGTACTTTACGCCGTTCATCTTTGCCTCAACCCTGAATGGTCTCCCAGTCCCTGCTGCTGAAAAACATCCCCACAGCATGATACTGCCACCACCATTCTTCACTGTAGGATGGTAACAGGTTTCCTCCAGATGTGACGTTTGGCATTTAGACCAAATAGTTAAATCTTGGTTTCATCAGACCAGAGAATCTTGTTTCTCATGGTCTGAGAGTTTTTAGGTGCCTTTTGGCAAACTCCAAGTGGGCTGTCATGTGCCTTTTACTGAGGAGTGGCTTCCATCTGGCCACTCTACAATAAAGGCCTGATTGGTGGAGTACTGCAGAGATGGTTGTCCTTCTGGAAGGTTCTCCCATCTCCACAGAGGAACTCTGGAGCTCTGTCAGTGACCATGGGTTCTTGGTCACCTTCTTCACCAAGGCCTTTCTCCCCTGATTTCTCAGTTTGGCCGGGTGGCCAGCTCTAGGAAGTGGTTTGGTGGTTCCAAACAAGACATGTTTTGGTACCCTTCCCCAGATCTGTGCCTCAACACAATCTTGTCTCGGAGCTCTACGGACAATTCCTTCGACCTCATGACTTGGTTTTTGTTCTGACATGCACTGTCAATTGAGGGACCTTATGTAGACAGGCGTGTACCTTTCCAAATCATGTCCAATCAATTTAATTTACCACAGGTGGACTCCAATCAAGTTGTAAAATCATCTCAAGGATGATCAATGGAAACAGGATGCACCTGAGCTCAATTTCAAGTCTCATAGCAAAGGGTCTGAATACTTATGTAAATAAGGTATTTACGTTTTTTATTTTTAATAAAGGTGCAAAAACAACTTTCTAAAAACCTGTTTTCACTTTGTCATTATGGGGTATTGTGTGTAGATTGAGGAGTAAAATGTTTTATTTAATCTATTTTAGAATAAGGCTGTAATGTAACAAAATGTGGAATTTGTAAATAAAACATTTTACTCAATCTACACACAATAACCCATTATGACAAAGCGAAAATAAGTTGTTAGAATTTTCAGAATTATAAAAAAACGAAAACATAAATACCTTATTTACTTAAGTATTCAGACCCTTTGCTATGAGACTTGAATTTGAGCTCAGGTGCATCCTGTTTCCATTGATTCTTCTAAGTAGCCACCATTTGCCTTGTTGACAGCTTTGCACACTCTTGGCATTCTCTCAACCAGCTTCATGAGGTAGTCACCTGGAATGCATTTCAATTAACAGCTGTGCCTTGTTAAAAGTTAATTTGTGGACTTTCTTTCCTTAGTGTGTTTGCGCCAATCAGTTGTGTTGTGACAAGGTGGGGGTGGTATACAGAAGATAGCCCTATTTGGTAAAAACCAAGTCCATATAATGGCAAGAACAGCTCAAATAAGCAATGAGAAACGACAGTCCATCATTACTTTGAAGCTGAGAAAAATGTGTTGGTGTGTGGGAAGAGTCTGACTTTGCATTGTGCCTAAGAACAGCCCTTAGCTGTGGTATATTGGCCATATACCACACCACCTCGGCCCTTATTGCTTAAATTAACTATAGCCATTGAATTCTACCATGCTGATATACCAAGCATTATAGGGAAATAATGGACGCTCTAGAATGCCATTCAAGCCAATCAGAAACGAATATTCAACAATGCCATGGTGGAATTAAGCAATAAGGCCCGAGGGTGTGTGGTAAATGGACAATATACCACGGCTAAGGGCTGTACTTATGCAGGATGCAACGCGGAGTGCCTGGAAACAGTCCTTAGCTGTGGTATATTGGCCATATACCACAAAACCCCGAGGTGCCTTATTGCTATTATAATCTGGTTACCAACGTAATTAGAAGAGTAAAAATAAAGGTTTTGTCATGCCCATGGTATACGTTCTGATATACCACGTCTTTCAGCCAATCAGCATTCAGGGCTCGACCCACCCAGTTTATAATGAATAATATTGACCTCTTATGACACTGGTGTGATCAGCTTTTTGTGTTTGAACCTCCAGAGGGGTGCTCCACATGGACAACTCCAGCTATGGGATTGAGCCGCTGGTGTCTTCCTCGGACTTCCAGCACCTAGTGTACCGGCTGGAGGACGTGGTGTCGGAGCCGCTGGTGTGTGGCACGCCCCACACGGAACAACAAGCCCCATCTGAACAGGACCACTCAGAGCATCACTCTGACACACACAAACAGCCCGTCAGCCACCACCTCAGGGTGAGTTACCACAGGGTGTGTGCGTGCTACGTGTGCCTGTGTCTTCGTGCTGATTTATCTGCTTATGGTACTGTATGTGCTTTCTCCCCCCTTCAGAGAAAGCGGGCAGTGCTGCACCAGCCACACTATGTAGAGCTGCTCCTGGTGGTGGATAATGAGAGGGTGAGTGAATTTCCGACGGACAAACCTAGTGCAGCGACTGTGTTTTATACATCATTTAAAATCTCTTCCCCTCAACAGTACATTTTGGCGAAGAGATGAAGCACATATCTCAGGGATTTTTCTGCATAGAAAATACTTTGGATGAGCCTCTTGTGTTTATCGGAGAAGGGGGTAGCTGCAGCTAAATATGGTGACAGGAGTATGGGTGAGTGGGCGTGTGGAAAGGAGTGGTTGTGTCGAAAGCGGTTTTGACTGTGCAGAGTTTTTTTTCTTCCGTTTCTTACCACGCAAAACGGTCTTGAGTGACAACAAATCTGTCCAATTAGCTGATTCGCTTTCCATACTCCCACTCGCCCATACTCCGGTCGCCATATTGGGCTGCAGCTACACATACTTGTTTTTTCGGGCCGTCTTCGTTAATACAGTGTACTTTTTTATTTATTTTTTACTTTTTTTTATTATTATTTTTATGGAAAAACGCTTTCAGTGTAAACGACTAAAATCGGACAAATTATGTAGAAAATAAATGTACCTATATATATATTTTCAAATATTTGAGAACTATCACCAAAATAAAAACGAGACAGGGAGAATTGAAAATGTTTGCGCGTAAGAACACCGCATTAGCCATGGCAAAATACGAAAATCTTTCTCTCGGCTCCAAGGCACAATATGTAGAATTGCAGGCAATTAGCTTTTAAAACTGCAACATTTTCTCTCAGCCCCATGGAGAAATTTGTGAAATGTCAGTAAATTGGCTTAAAAATGCGAGCATTTCTCAACACCGCCAAGGTGTAGGCCTCAACTTTTCTTGCCAAGGGCCCGGACCGAATTCAATTGCAGCGACTGGCCGACCGCACCCATTACAACGCCCATCACCTAGTCCCTTTTTTGATCCAGAAAAAAACCATGATCTTGTGATTTCTTGATGGCCTGTGTGAAATCTAGCCTGGGTACCAGACCTATTTTTGCTATCATTCCACTCCTTGCCACATGCCAAAGATATGACAAGGAGTGGCATGATGGCACAAACATGATGCCCAGGCTAGTTGAAATCTCCATTGGGCTAAATATTTTTTTGTCCCAGTCCGTTTTAAACTTTTGGAACGAGGTCCTCAGGAAACCCTAGCCAACGCCCACCTCTGTCCTTTCCCTCTACAGTTCACCTACATGCACAGGAATGAGACTGCAGTGCGAGAAGAGATGATTCATCTAGCTAACTACATTGACAGTGTAAGTATACAAAAAAGTATGCATACTACAAGTGCTCAATCAGGGTCAAATACCCTCAGACTCAGTATGGCATGAGTTGCAGTCAACGCTTGCAATACCAAACAAGCCAATTCCAAGTATATAAACCAATGATTTCTTCATAGATTGTGTTTAGAGTTTAGGGGCAACATTTTTGTATTGCATAGAAATTGTGCAAAACTTACCATAAACCTCATTTTATAATCTGGCAGCGTGATTGAAACGTTTCTTTACCAATGTACATTATAAAGAGGCGACTTTTATTTTTTAAGACTCTAGTAAGTTTAATAAATGCTAGGATAGTTAAAAATTGCCTCTTTTTAATGCATATTGTTGAAGAAAAGTAAAAAAATTAGATCACACTGCCAGATAAAGGTTCACGGTATTTTTTGCACGGAAATGACGCCCTAGATGTGTCTATGGATCTGTCTCAATTTGTGACCTTCTTCCCATTTCTCTGTAACATCCAGATGTATGTGGAGCTGAACATCCGTGTGGTGTTGGTGGGCCTGGACATCTGGGCCAACGGGAACCCCATCAGCATCGAGGGCAGCGCCGGGGAGGTGCTCAGCCGCTTTGTCCAGTGGAGGGAGAAGGAGCTGGTGCCGCGGCGACGCCACGACAGCGCCCAGCTCATCCTGTGAGTCCCTGTACAGTTTTGCATCATATGAGGCATTATACATCATCGTAGTTTTTGCTCTCTTCTGAAAGTGCTTTAACTTGAAAACGTAACTACTGACGTCAACAACAAAAAATAAATGGATTGTATTAACAGTGGACTTATGAACAAAATACTAAAACGTCATTTTTGAGTGAAGTTATCCTTTAACCCCATAGAATACAGGGTTCATATTCAGCTTCTCTGAGTCAGAGTGCTGATCTAGGACCTGTCTTGCCTTTACGATCATAATGAGTAAGATTACATGGGCAGGGGTGAATTGATCCCAGGTCAGCAATCCTACTCTGAGACACTTGATGAACATGGGCCCAGGAGAGGCAAAATAGTAACGTAGCACTGGGTTTATTATGTCTCTCTCTCTTCATAGTCTCTCTCTGTATTTTTTGTCTCTCCAGGAAGAAGAACTTTGGGGGCACTGCTGGGATGGCCTTTGTCAGCATGGTCTGCTCGCGGAGTCACGGGGGTGGGATCAACGCAGTAAGTTCCTCCCTTGGGACTCTGCTGATTACTCTCCAAAATGCATCATATCGCGCAAAACACATCATACCAGTTATTGCTCTGCACTGAAAGTGCTCTATCTTGAAAACTTGACTGCTGACATGCAACATTTTTGGGGATTATATTAACAGTGGACTAATGAAGAAAATACTTACAGATCGTTTTGGAGTGTAATATTCCTTTAATATCCTCGCCTCATACTCCGTGCATGTCTCTGCGTAGTCGCTCCTTGTTCGAAATATACGAAAAATCCTTTTATTATATAGAAACTGCCGCCTTTATACACCAAGGACGGTAACTATAATGATACATTATACCTAACTATAAAAGGTTCTACAGTAGCTTACACCTGTCAATCAACTGATCAACGAATCCTACTGCACACTGTAGTTCTATTAATAAGGTGGGAACACAGACCATTCAGAGCTTCAGGGTGTGTTCAGTGTCATAGTGACAACTGCAAATAATACTTCAATGTGTACATGTAATGAAACATAATATAGAAACATATTTCAATGTAGCAATTCAACAACAAATGCTGTTTAGCCTGCACCTTTTTTACGTCATTGCTTTCCTCGTTGCTCAAGTGGTTTGCGAGTGATCCCCGACGGTTCATTTGGCCTAGGCCTTCATTCAGCAATTAACAAGAGCAAGCCTGCTCCTCTCCATGTAAAGGCTATTAGGCCTAGTAAAAAAACTATATAAATACATGTCCTATAGCTTTTGTAGCGTATAGCTTTTCCTGGAATTTCACGAGAAATTAGTAGGGATGGGGATTTGAAATAATTTCACTATTCGAGTAGTATCGTGAATTTTGTCAGATATCCGGATCTTCATAATACATGTTTTTGTAAATGTACGTTTTTAACCTGAGCATTGCTGCGTGAGGAAGAGCCTGGTGCACTATGACTGCAAAGGTGCCTGGTGAGATGGGAGCGAGCAGACGGAGGCAGAGAGTGAGACGCTACTCTGCTACAGCCAAGACTAGCTAACTTTTAGCAGCCACAATGTTATTTATCATCCCATAGAACAGTAGCCTAGGGAATTGAGGCCACATTTTGCGCTTTTTCTCCTTAACCCCATTCAGATAAAAAACAACAGCCTACCTGTTGGTTGCTTGTTGTAGTCTACTCTTTCTCATTTCGCTAACTTTTAATTCCGTAATTGTATTCTGTCTTGCATTGCATTTGTGAACTCTCACTACACTTGCTACACATTGAACAACAAGCTACACACTTGAAGGCTACCGGACGGCTACCAGGCTTAGTTATGGGGCGCCTGTCTTAAAAACTACATTGAAAGTTAGTTTTATTAAATTAATCATTACAAATGTCATGGTATATCCTTGTAAGAAACAACGTCATATGGATATTTAAATTTTATCAAGAAAAGCCTTTTCATTGATAAAATAGGCCTATACATTTTTTGGCCACAAAAATTAATACAAATTCTAACGTCTTTTCGAATATTCAAACCTATTATAACCTATTGTGTACCGGAACAGCTGGAAGAGAGAGGCTATAGTTGTGTTAGCCAAATTAAGAAGCTAAATATTAGGGCTATAAATATGAACCTGTTAAAGTGCAATACATTTTTTTTTTTACAGATTAGGAAATGGCAGATCTGTGTGTTCCTCCAGGCTGCGCTCTGCAGTCCCTAGGCTTGCAAAGCGCCACTCCACTATTGATTAGGCCTACGTTTTTAGACAGTATCATTATTCTACCTAGGCTACAACAACACAGTGCAGTGAATAATGTATTATTGTTATCAAGTGAGTACACAATTATTGTCTAGGGCTGTAAACTGCAGTGATGTAGGAACATTTGAGTAACCGCGCAAACACCCTGTTTTTAATGCTTCATGCTGAAATAACTGCATACAGCCTAGGCCTGATTATGCAACCATTTGGATTGGTTATGGGTCTATGCTCAACTGTTTACAAGGTCCAAAAAGGTACAGTACATTAGCAGGCTACATATGGTGTATTTCGATCACACCATCGCGCTCGCTCTCCTTTCAAACTCCCCGCCAGTTCTTTTGGCTCCTGTATTTTACATTCAGCAAGCAAGAGCAAGCTGGAATCTCTCCTCAATAGGCTAGTAGTAGTACATAAAATGTTTGAAATCCGTGTACAACAAGCTATTGTAGTCTAGCTTTTCCTGGGACTCCAAGACTAAAGAACAATAGCTGTAGCTGAGAGACAGCGGAGAGGCCAGGTGCGTAATGGCGCAAAGACAACCTTGAAGACAGACTAGAGATGTGTAGCCTTAGTTAGAAGCGTATGCAACCCATCATTCGTTAGCTAAATATTAGGCCTAATACTGCAGTGAATAGCCTATACCCAATGAATTTACAAAGGGAAATATTTGTTTGACAGATAGCCTAGGATAGGGTACATTGTGCACTTCCCAGGCTGCGCTACCAGTCCCTGTGGGCATCCAGCTCGAAAACCTCTCCAATTGATTAAGCTTTTTAGGGACAAGAAAATGATCATGACTAGGCTATAACAATACAATGCAATAATGCCATTTTTTATTTTATGTTTGTGGGTATTTTACCCCCATTTTTCTCCCTTATTTCGATCTTGTCTCATCACTGCAACTCCCCAACAGGCTCGGGAGAGGCGAAGGTGGACTCATGCGTCCTTAACACCTGCCAGCTTAACCCGGAAGCCAGCCGCACCAATGTGTCGGAGGAAATACCATTCAACTGGTGACCGGGGTCAGCCTGCAGGCACCCGGCCCGCCACAAGGAGTCGCTAGAGCGCGATGAACTAATTAAAGCCCAACCGGCCAAACCCTCCCCTTGTGGCTCAGCCCGGGAATGAACCCAGGTCTGTAGTAACGCCTCTAGCACTGCGATGCAGTGCCTTAGACCGCTGCGCCACTCGGGAGGCCCCAATAATGCAGTTGTTATAAAAAAATGTGTGAGTAAAGAATTCTAGTCTAGGCTGTAAACTGCAGTGAATGTCATTTCAATAACCGCTAGAAAGCCATGTGTTTTGAATGCATGTTTCATTCCAAAAGAATAATAATCTAGCCCAGTGGTTCCCAACCAGGGGTACCAGGACCTAGGGGGTACTTTGCCTATCCACAGGGGGTATTTGAGAAGACTCATGAGACCATAGACTTAGTTGTAAAATGCGCTTAACACCCAAGTCAAGTTGAACTGTTCTTACATGCCAGTAGAGTAAAGATGGTAATGGTGTGTGTCGCAAATAGCACCCTTTTCCCTATGTAGTGCACTACTTTTGACCAGAGCCCACTATATAGGGGGATAGGGTGCCATTTGGGACGTATCAATTGTGTGTCCACGCTGTTTAGCCTATAGCCCTCATTTGATTTCTAATGAACGTTCTATGTCCTTCTCTGCCTTCAGTTCACCAACAACAACATCCCGTCTTTTGCGTCTATCGTGGCCCACGAGCTGGGCCACAACCTGGGCATGAACCACGACGACGGGCGTAACTGCCATTGTGGGGTCACCAGTTGTATTATGAACTCCACCGCCACGTGAGTTTTCCTCGACCCTCAGACTAATTTTGCCGCTTTTCCACGGTGACCTGTCCTTACATAAGGAGGGTCACATATTGCTCTGGGTGAAGTTTCCCCTAGGTACAGATCTGGGATCAGCTTCCCTTACCCCAATCCTAACTTTAACCATTAGTGGGGAAAATGCAAAACTGACCTAGGATCAGTGTCTAGGGTCAACTGCACTCTACACCGTCACATATCCTGGTACTAACCCCACCTCTTCTGTCTCTTACCCCCTCTCAGTGGCTCGCGGAACTTCAGCAGCTGCAGCGCCGACGACTTTGAGAAGATGATCCTGAACACGGGGGGCAGCTGCCTGCTTAACATTCCGCATCCGGAAGAGGCCTACAGTGCCCCCTACTGTGGCAACAAACTGGTGGACGTGGGAGAGGAGTGTGACTGTGGCTCAGACAAGGTGACCGTCAAAAAGTGATATGGTGCAGGGTTGGTATCATTTCCCTTTCAATTAAATCAATTCAGGAAGTAAACTGAAAAAATTGTAATTTCTATTTACTTCCTGAATTGACTGAATTGAAATGGAATATACTCCAACCCTGATATGGTGGTGATAGGCCCATAGGCAGGGCTCTAAAGTGCTACCATGATTACGGATAATCATGAATGAATTGTGAATAATGATGAGTGAGAATGTTACAGAGGCATAAATATCATACCCTCCAAAAATCCTAACCTCCCCTGTTATTGGTAATGGTTAGAGGTTAGCATGTCTTGGGGGTATGATCTCTAACTTTCTCATTCAAGATTCATTCATGATTATCCATAATCATGGTAGCATCCACTTGAATGTAGAAGTGTTCAGAAACATATTTTATTCATGTACAATAAAAGTTACTCCAAAATGACACAATACATGATTTACCATTCATTTCTATAGGTCACGACATAATCGAAAACACAACCAAAACACAACCAAAAGGCGTGCTAGGAATATGGGACCAAATACAAATCTTTTGACTACTTTAATACACATAAGTGAATTTGTCTAAATACTTATGACACCTTCAAATGGGGGGGACTAGATACATAAAGTGCTTTCATTTCTAAACGGTGAAACAGATATATATGAAAATACCCTCAAATAAAAATTACTGCACGCTGTAGTTCTATTAATAAGGTGGGAACACAGACCATTCAGAGCTTCAGGGTGTGTTCAGTGTCATAGTGACAACTGCAAATAATACTTCAATGTGTACATGTAATGAAACATAATATAGAAACATATTTAAATGTAGCAATTCAACAACAAATGCTGTTTAGCCTGCACCTTTTTTATGTTATTGCTTTCCTCGTTCCTCAAGTTGTTTGCAAGTGATTTCAATTTTTCTACTGGTTGTCAATTCGTTTGGATCTTTTTCGCTGTGCTCATCTCTCTGTCTGTCCTGTGCAACCATTTGCAATGCATCAGTGCAACAATGTTATCCCTGGCCAAAGTGATCCCCGACAGTTCATTTGGCCTAGGCCTTCATTCAGCAATTAACAAGAGCAAGCCTGCTCCTCTCCATGTAAAGGCTATTAGGCCTAGTAAAAAAACTATATAAATACATGTCCTATAGCTTTTGTAGCCTATAGCTTTTCCTGGGACTTCACGAGAACTGAGTAGGGATGGGGATTTGAAATAATTTCACTATTCGAGTAGTATTGTGAATTTTTGTCAGATATCCGGATCTTCAAAATACATGTTTTTGTAAATGTACGTTTTTAACCTGAGCATTGCTGCGTGAGGAAGAGCCTGGTGCACTATTGCTGCAAAGGTGCCTGGTGAGATGGGAGCGAGCAGACGGAGGCAGAGAGTGAGACGCTACTCTGCTACAGCCAAGACTAGCTAACTTGTAGCAGCCACAATCTTATTTATCATCCCATATAACAGTGCCTGTATTGACTGGAGTAGCCTAGATAAGCTAGCTAGCTAAGTTCTAAGCTTAATATAGGGAATAGGGTGCCGTTTCAGACTACAATAGTATTTTTGTATTTTTTTAGTCTGATGGTGGCCTCCTCCACCCTGATTTGTTCATGATGTTTGTTTCTCCCCCTATAGGAATGTGAGAAGGACCCGTGCTGTGAAGCCAAGACCTGCAAGCTCATGGGTGGAGCACAGTGTGCCTATGGAGTGTGCTGTAAAAATTGTCAGGTAACTTCCATTTAGTGTAGCACTGCTGTCTGTTATTGATATTAAAAACCAATTCAACCATTATATATTTTTTACATGAACTACAGACTAGAAAGAAAGGAATTTGAACAGCAGCAACATTCACCAGATACTTAAATACTATTAAGCTTTTTTCAAATACTTTTAGCGTTTGCTTTAGCCTACCTAGTTTGCTAGATAGTGCCTTCGAAACGTATTCATGCCTCTTTGACTTTTTCCACATTTTGTTGTGTTACAGTGGGATTAAAATTGATGTAATTATCATTTTTTTGTCAACGATCTACACAAAATACTCTGTCAAAGTGGAAGAAAATGTTTAACTTTTTTTTTTTTATTATGGAAAATATAAAAAAATATAGTGCTTTCTGAAAATATTCAGACCCCTTGACTTTTTCCACATTTTGTTACGTTAAAGCCTTACTGTAATTTCGAATCTCATAGCAAAGGGTCTGAATACTTATGTAAATAAGGTATTTCTGTTTTGTATTTGTAATACATTTGCACACAAAAAAAATATCAATTTTAGAATAAGGCTATAATGTAACAAAATGTGGAAAAGGGGAAGGGATCTGAATATTTTCCGAATGCACCTGTATATTTATTAGGTAAGTATTCAACCCCCTGAGTCTATACATGTTAGAATCCCTTTTGGCAATTACAGCTGAGAGTCTTTCTGGGTAAGTCTCTAAGAGCTTTGCACACCTGGATTGTATAATAGTTGCCCATTGTTCTTAAAAAAATTATTCAAGCTCTTTCAAGTTGGTGTTGATCATTGCTAGACAGCCATTTTCATGTCTTGCCATTTACTTTCAAGCCGATTTAAGTAAAAACTAACTAGGCCACTCAGGAACATGCAGTGTTGTCTTGGTAAGCAACTCTAGTGTATATTTGACCTTGTGTTTTAGTTCATTGTCAAGCTGAAAGGTGAATGTCTCCCAGTGTCTGTTGGAAAGCAGACTGAACCAGGTTTTCCTCTAGGATTTTGCCTGTGCTTAGCTCTATTCTGTTTATTTTTATAGAAAAAAACCTCCTTAGTCCTTGACAAACATACCCATAACATGATGCAGCCACCACAATGCGTGAAAATATGAAGAGTGGTACTCAGTGATGTTGGATTTTCCCCAAACCTAACGCTTTGTATTCAGGACAAAAAGTTTATTTCTTTGCTAAATTCTTTGCAGTATTACTTTAGTGCCTTATTGCAAACAGCACCATGTTTTGGAATATTTGTATTCTGTACATGCTTCCTTCTTTTCACTCTGTAATTTATGTTAGTATTGTGGAGTACCTACAATGTTGTTGATCAATCCTCACTTATCTCCTATCACAGCCAATAATTTCTAACTGTTTTAAAATCACCATTGGCCTCATGGTGAAATCCCTGAGCCATTTCCTTCCTCTCCGGCAACTGAGTTAGGAAGGGCTTGGAGTGACTGGGTGTATTGATACACCATACAAAGTGTAATTAATAACTTCACCATGCGCAAAGGGATATTCAATGTCAGGTTAAAAAAAGCAATCTACCAATAGGTGCCCTTCTTTGCGAACCATTGGAAAACCTCCCTGGTCTTTGTGGTTGAATCTGTGCTTGAAATTCACTGCTTGACTGAGGGACCGTGTGTGATGGGGTAGTCATTTAAAAATAATGTTAAACACTATTATTGCACACAGAGTGAGTCCATGCAACATTTTTACTCCTGAACTTATTTAGGCTTGCCATAACAAAGGGGTTGAATACTTATTGACTCTAGACATTTCATTTCTTAATTTTTTATTAATTTGTTAATATTTCTAAAAACATAATTCCACTTTGCCATTGTGGGGTATTATGTGTAGATCAGTGACACAAAATCAAGAGGTGTGAATAATTTCTGAAGGCACTGTAGACAGGGTTTGCAGTTTTGCAACTATTCAAATTTTTCCATTGAGCCAGGCACGCTCAGTCAAGCCCAGCTAAAGTATTGAAGTTATTTTGAACAGTTTGAACCCAGGTCTGATATTCACACAGTTCATGTGATGTCTTCTCTCTCTCAGTATTTGCCAGGGGGCTCAGTGTGTAGAGGTAGCAATGATGAGTGCGACCTCTCGGAGTACTGCAACGGCTCATCTGCACTGTGCCCAAGCGATGTCTTCAAGCAGAACGGCCACCCCTGCAAAGTGGATAAAGCCTACTGCTACAATGGGAAGTGCCAGCACTACAATGGACAATGCCAGGCCATCTTTGGCCCAAGTGAGTTCCCCTTTGCTCTGCATAAGAGGAATTCTGCTGCCTTCTAAATCACAAAGTCCAGAACAATTGCTCATGAGTGCCCTCTGGTGGTACAATTGTTCTCCCTGCAGTTCCTACTCTCTCCTGGTAGTACAATATTTACAATATCAAATAAACCAGTGGACACTGTACTGTAAATTCATCAATTTCCCACTTGTTGTACAGAGGCAAAGGCTGCCCCAGAGGTGTGTTTCAAAGATGTCAACTCTAAGGGGGATCGGTTTGGAAACTGCGGCTACCAATCCCCTGGCTATAAGAAGTGTGAGAGCAGGTCAGACAAATTCCGTGACTTGCATTCTTATCTATGTATAATCAACAGCAAATACAGTTGTCAACAGTGTATGTTGACGGCATGAGGAAAATGTGTACGTGTGTGCACCCGTCTGTCACTCTGTATAGGAATGCCATGTGTGGGAAGCTGCAGTGTGAGAATGTCCAGTCGGTCACCGTCTTTGGCATCGAGCCCTCCATCATCCAGACGCCCATCGCAGGAACCAAGTGCTGGGGCGTGGACTTCCTGCTGGGGTCGGACGTCCCAGACCCTGGCATGGTGAACGAGGGGACCAAGTGTGGGGAGAACAAGGTAAGAGGAGCCAGTCGAACCGGTTGCAGGACCCCAAGGACCACTTTGGCAACAAGGGTTGGTTTTAGGAGCTATCCTCTAGGGATCCATTGTACGTCTTACTGTATAATTTGTTTACCCAAATAAATTCCATTAAATTCTGTAGTCTGTCCTCTTTGTTAGAGACCATTTCCAGGCGGTACAGTAGTAGCAAAGTCCAGATGCAGTTATTCGCGTCTGCGTACAGAATTCGGTACACTGTTCTCCATTCTCGTAGCAGCGTTTCGCTGTGCGTCTTCTCACTTTCTCGCTCCACAGGTCTGTTTGAATTACGACTGTCGGAGCGCCGACGTGCTCAACTACGACTGTGACATCCAGAAGAAATGCCACGGTCACGGTGTAGGTCATTCACTACTTCTAAATAATCGTCTCCGGGGCAGTGTCCTACTGGTGTTTGTCTGGGCTTTGTCTAATGCGCTTGCCTCTGTCACCTTTTCCGCTTTTAGGTGTGTAACAGCAACAGGAACTGCCACTGTGAGAACGGCTGGGCGCCGCCCAACTGCGAAGCCAAAGGTTACGGAGGCAGCATGGACAGCGGCCCTACGTGGAACGGTGAGTGACCAGCACAAACGCCCTCTCAGAGCAGACTCCATGGGCGCATCTGAATCATAGTCTAAAAAATAATATTCTTCTCCTAAACTACCTGCTATGATCTGAATACATCTGTGTGTTTTGGATACCGAATGGGTGAAAGCAATATGGCCTAGTAATTTAATAATTTAATCTTACCTGTCCAGAATAAAAATAGATTTTATATATTTTTTCTAAGGGGACAATAAGAAGCTACTTGAAGGCAGTTGAGATGCAACACCTCGTGTCAGTCTGTCTGTGTTATTTCCCAGGATACATTAAAGTACAGTGTTAGACAGGTTGAGTGGGACTGTTGGTCCCATCCCCTGACTGTTGGTCCCACCCCCTGACTGTTGGTCCCTCCCCCTGACTGTTGGTCCCTCCCCCTGACTGTTGGTCCCTACCCCTGACTGTTGGTCCCTACCCCTGACTGTTGGTTCCTACCCCTGACTGTTGGTTCCTACCCCCTACAGACAAGGACACCTCCACCAGGGATGGGCTGCTGGTCTTCTTCTTTCTGGTACTGCCTCTGATGGCGCTGGGCCTCTTCGTCTTCTTCAGGAGGAATGAGCTGCAGAGGCGCTTCTGCAGGAGGAAAAGATCCCAGGGCTACGAGTGAGTCCACTTTATCAACTTCTCTTAGTCTGCGTCCCAAATGTTATTCTATTCTATACACCAAATTCCTTTGCCATATAGACCATATTTGTTTCATGATTGCCCTTGACTTACTTTAAAGACACAATATGTAGAATTTAGCTCAGCCGATTACTGGTTTCTAAAATTCTGAAGGTTCTGCCTGATTCCAGCTTATGTGACACAACAAGCAAGTGTAGAGAATCATTGTACAATCTAAACCACTGTGAAATATCTGTTCAATAACAAAAAATATGTTTTCAGCAGGTTTGAAGCTGATGTACAAAGAAACAAAAACGAAACTTATGGAGAGGAAGCATACAAATATTACACATAGAACAGATCTACCGCTTGTCAGACTTGATGTCACTATCCACGTTTCCATCCACAATTTCTATGCGAGTAATGTCATATCGTTAAAGAAAATAATTATGACAGCTGTGATGGAAACAGGAAGTTTCGGTATAATTTTATAAATGCCGACAGATGATTTGTTCCTTCGACATTACATTTACATTTTAGTCATTTAGCAGACGCTCTTAACCAGAGCGACTTACAGGAGCAATTAGGGTTAAGTGCCTTGCTCAAGGGCACATTAACGTCATTTAGCAGACGCTCTTAGCCAGAGCGACTCACAAATTGGTGCGTTCACCCTATAGCCAGTGGGATAACCACTTTACAATTTGGGGGGGGGGGGGGGGGGGGGTTAGAAGGAATACTTTAGCCTATCCCAGGTATTCCTTAAAGAGGTGGGGTTTCAAATGTCTCCGGAAGGTGGTGAGTGACTCCGCTGTCCTGGCGTCGTGAGGGAGCTTGTTCCACCATTGGGGTGCCAGAGCAGCGAACAGTTTTGACTGGGCTGAGGGGGAGCTGTGCTTCCGCAGAGGAAGGGGAGCCAGCAGGCCAGAGGTGGATGAACGCAATGTCCTCGTTGGTGGCACGGTGATGAGTTTAATGCCGCTTTACAAAAAATATCGATGGTCTTATACTGGTGACATGATGATCGATGCTTGACTGCCGTTTGACAAATAAAAATATTCTTGCTCTTATCCATAATAATCTCATCATGTAGACTAGCTTACCCGTACTGTATCTGCGAGCTGTTGATTAGAGCGCAGGTGCCAAGACCAGAGTAGGCACATTTGCTATTTAACGCAACAGTTTTTGTAACAAAACTATCGGTAGAGTTGAAAATGCGATGGAAACACATTGAACTTTAGATTTTAAGCGAAAAATACATTTTGTGTGAACTACGTCATCACGCACTGATTTTTATCCGCAACAAGTCTATTTGGTGGAAACATACCACTGGTGGGAAAATGCACATGTTTTCTTTATGCGGATTCTAGAATATTCACATGGAAATCTGTTGCCAATTGGATGGAAACCTAGCTACTGACAACGACAGATCTATAACTTGCATTTCTATCTGAAATGAACACAAAACTACATAATAGGAAATGCTTGTTTGTTTTTTACCTCTTGTGCACAGGGCTGACAGCAGACCTCAGGCCAACACTAGCCGAGGCCCTCCTCCGAGAGTCAACCCCAACACCATTGTCAAAGACGGAGTGAGTCTGTCACCATACTTTCCCCATGAAAGTTCCATGGTGGCATGCATGTTCCTTCTTTGAAACTTTCAATTTTAGTGCTTTTAAAGACAATAATTCTCTAACCCATAAATGACAGACTTGAGGCTAGTAGATTCTCTCCCTGTATCTCATCACCTGTCTGTCTTTGACTGAGAAACATGAAACGAGCTGTGCCCCAGGTTGTCTGAAAAGCAGAGGTTGGAACCAAAATAATTTTCCAATAATTTTGTTCTGAACAGAACCATTCTTTTTTGTTCCACTGTTCTGAACAGCAAAATAAAGTTTTGTAATGTTTTAAACCCCAGAAAAGTAACAGTTTATATAGTTCCTTTCTGTTTCTTTTTAAACCTCTGAAATCGACATTCTTTTTCATTTAGCTCGACATTAAATTACTTCACCAATGGATAGAGCAGCTTGGTATGGAGCGGGCAAGCTATGGACATGCATTGGACAGACAAGTGTAGCATAGGGTGCGACTGAAATGTTGCTGGTGAGGAGAGCGCTGGGCATGAAGCGCTGGGCATCTTGTTGTTATGACATGCATTGTCTGAATTAGACCCACAGAATTATACCTACGGAGGGAGTGGCTTCTATGAAGGAACTTTGAATGTCTTTGAACTTCAGAGAGTTGGCTTAACTAACATTGGACTAGAGCTAGCCCTTGATCATGACTCTCAGTTCCATTAATGAATCGGAGGTGAAAGATTTACGGCTCCTTCCGGACCAGGCCCAAATCCCCGTCATTCGCATGAAGAGGAGACGCCGATACACGGGCTGCAGATCTGGGTGCTTGGTGAGAATTCGTTGGCGAGTGGATAATCCGCCTTTACCATCTGTCCTACTGGTGAACGTGAGAGTAAACTGGATGAGCTCCGTTCGAGACTATCCTACCAACGGGACATTAAAAATTGTAATATCTTATGTTTCACCGAGTCGTTGGCTGAACGAGGACATGGATATTATACAGTTGGCTGGGTATTTGGTGCGTCGGCAAGACAGAAGAGCAACCTCCGGTAAGAAGAGGGGTGGCTGTGTCTATTTGTCAATAACAGCTGGTGCATGATCTCTAATATTAAGGAAGTCTCATGATAAGCTGTAGAACACACTATATACTAAGATAGTTTTCATCTATATTTTTTGTAGCTGTCTATTTACCACCACAAACCGATGCAGGCACTAAGACCATACTCAACAAGCTGTATGCCATAAGCAAACGAGAATGCTCACCCAGAAGCAGCATTTACCTAATTTCTAGCAGCATATCACATGTGCAACCAGAGGAGAAAAAACTCACACAGAGACGCATACAAAGCTCTCCCTCACCCTCCATTTGGCAAATCTTATCATAATTATATCCTTCTGATTCCTGCTTACAAGCAAAACCTCAAGCAGGAAGTACCAGTGACTCGCTCAATACGGAAGTGGTCAGATGACGCAGATGCTAAACTACAGGACTGTTTTGCTAGCATAGACTGGAATATGTTCCGGGATTCATTGGGAGGCATTGAGGAGTATACCACATAAGTCACCGGCTTCATCAGTAAGTGCATTGACGACGTCGTGACCATACATATCACAACCAGAAGCCATGGATTACAGGCAACATCCGCACTGAGCTAAAGGCTAGAGCTGCAGCTTTCAAGGAGCGGGACACTAATCCGGACGCTTATAAGAAATCCCACTATGCCCCCCGACGAACCATCAAACAGGCAAAGCGTCAATACAGGGCAAAGATTGAATCCTACTATACCGGCTCTGATGCTCGTCGGATGTGGCAGGGCTTGCAAACTATTACGGATTATAAAGGGAAACCCAGCCGCGAGCTGCCCAGTGACGCGAGCCTACCAGATGAGCTAAATGCTTTCTATGCTCGTTTCGAGGCAAGCAACACTGAACCAAGCATGAGAGCACCAGCTGTTCCGGATCATGCTCTCCGTAGCCGATGTGAGTAAGACCTTTAAACAGGTCAACATTGCTTTGAAAGGCTGGTCATGGCTCACATCAACACCATCATCCCAGAAACCCTAGACCCACTACAATTCGCATACCGCCCCAACAGATGACGCAATCTCTATTGCACGCCACACTGCCCTTTCTTACCTGAGCAAAAGGAACACCTACGTAAGAATGCTGTTCGTTGACTACAGCTCATCGTTAAACACCATAGTGCCCTCAAAGCTCATCACTAAGCTAAGGACCCTGGGACTAAACACCTCCCTCTGCAACTGGATCCTGGACTTCCTGACAGGCCACCCCCAGGTGGTAATGGTAGGCAACAACACATCTGTCACGCTGATCCTCAACACGAGGCCCCTCGGGTGCATGCGTAGTCCCCTCCTGTACTCCCTGTTCACCCACGACTGCGTGGCCACGCACGACTCCAACACCATCATGAAGTTTGCCGAAGACACAACAGTAGTAGGCCTGATCACCGACAACGATGAGACAGCCAATAGGGAGGTGGTAAGAGACCTGGTAGTGTGGTGCCAGGACAACAACCTCTCCCTCAACGTGAGAAAGACAAAGAAGCTGATCGTGGACTACAGGAAAAGGAGGGCCGAGCACGCCCCCATTCACATCGACGGGGCTGTAGTGGAGTGGGTCAAGAGCTTCAAGTTCCTTGGTGTCCACATCACTAACAAACTATCATGGTCCAAACACACCAAGACAGCCGTGAAGAGGGCACAACAACGCCTATTCCCCCTCAGGAGACTGAAAAGATTTGGCATGAGTCCTCAGATCCTCAAAAAGTTCTAAAGCTGCACCATCGAGAGCATCCTCACTGGTTGCATCACTGCTTGGTATGGAAACTGCTCGGCATCCGACCACAAGGCACTACAGAAGGTAGTGCGTACGGCCCAGTACATCACTGGGGCCAAGCTTCCTGCCATCCAGGACCTCTATACCAGGCGGTCAGAGGAAGGCCCTAAAAGATGTCAAAGACTCCAGCCACCCAAGTCATAGACTGTTCTCTCTGCTACCGCACGGCAAGCAGTACTGGAGCGCCAAGTCTAGGTCCAAAAGGCCATACGACTGCTAAACAGTTAATCAAATGGCTACCCAAACTTTTTTACGCTGCTGCTACTCACTGTTTATTATCTATGCATAGTCCCTTTACCCCTACCTACATGTACATATTACCTAAATTACCTCGACTCATTTTCTTACTTAAAATAAACCTCTACATTGTTGGTTAAGGGCTTGTAAGTAAGCATTTCTACACCTGTTGTATTCGGCGCGTGTGACATATAACATTTGATTTGATTACATAACACATGTTGCCTAGAGTTTTCAAACGCTAGACCAGAGCTAGCTAACAAGCTAGCTAGCTAACAAGCTTGTGTGTGCAGAGCGGCACCAGAATTTAAATAAGAACACATCTTACCGTTTTGTAGTTAATAAATCCAATGTGAAATGTGATAACTATAGTATTCCCTTTATTCAGATTACAACCTCTCACTTTCAGTTACAGTGGGGAGAACAAGTATTTGATACACTGTCGATTTTGCAGGTTTTCCTACTTACAAAGCATGTAGAGGTCTGTAATTGTTTATCATAGGTACACTTCAACTGTGAGAGACGGAATCTAAAACAAAAATCCAGAAACTCACATTGTATGATTTTTAAGTAATTAATTTGTATTTTATTGCATGACATAAGTATTTGATACATCAGAAAAGCAGAACTTAATATTTGGTACAGAAACCTTTGTTTGCAATTACAGAGATAATATGTTTACTGTAGGTCTTGACCAGGTTTGCACACACTGCAGCAGGGATTTTGGCCCACTCCTCCATACAGACCTTCTCCAGATCCTTCAGGTTTCGGGGCTGTCGCTGGGCAATACAGACTTTCAGCTCCCTCCAAAGATTTTCTATTGGGTTCAGTTCTGGAGACTGGCTAGGCCACTCCAGGACCTTGAGATGCTTCTTACGGAGCCACTCCTTAGTTGCCCTGGCTGTGTGTTTCGGGTCGTTGTCATGCTGGAAGACCCAGCCACGACCCATCTTCAATGCTCTTACTGAGGGAAGGAGGTTGTTGGCCAAGATCTCGCGATACATGGCCCCATCCATCCTCCCCTCAATACGGTGCAGTCGTCCTGTCCCCTTTGCAGAAAAGCATCCCCAAAGAATGATGTTTCCACCTCCATGCTTCACGGTTGGGATGGTGTTCTTGGGGTTGTACTCATCCTTCTTCTTCCTCCAAACACGGCGAGTGGAGTTTAGACCAAAAAGCTCTATTTTTGTCTCATCAGACCACATGACCTTCTCCCAGTGGAGTTTAGACCAAAAAGCTCTATTTTTGTCTCATCAGACCACATGACCTTCTCCCATTCCTCCTCTGCATCATCCAGATGGTCATTGGCAAACTTCAGACGGGCCTGGACATGCGCTGGCTTGAGCAGGGGGACCTTGCGTGCACTGCAGGATTTTAATCCATGACGGCGTGGTGTGTTACTAATGGTTTTCTTTGAGACTGTGGTCCCAGCTCTCCTCAGGTCATTGACCAGGTCCTGCCATGTAGTTCTGGGCTGATCCCTCACCTTCCTCATGATCATTGATGCCCCACAAGGTGAGATCTTGCATGGAGCCCCAGACCGAGGGTGATTGACCGTCATCTTGAACTTCTTCCATTTTCTAGTAATTGCGCCAACAGTTGTTGCCTTCTCACCAAGCTGCTTGCCTATTGTCCTGTAGCCCATCCCAGCCTTGTGCAGGTCTACAATTTTATCCCTGATGTCCTTACACAGCTCTCTGGTCTTGGCCATTGTGGAGAGGTTGGAGTCTGTTTGATTGAGTGTGTGGACAGGTGTCTATTATACAGGTAACGAGTTCAAACAGGTGCAGTTAATACAGGTAATGAGTGGAGAACAGGAGGGCTTCTTAAAGAAAAACTAACAGGTCTGTGAGAGCCGGAATTCTTACTGGTTGGTAGGTGATCAAATACTTATGTCATGCAATAAAATGCAAATTAATTAC